AAGGGGGAGAACATTCCTGGGATATGGAGTTGCAGCGGCGAGGAAGAAACGGAGGAGCGACAGGAGGAGTTGCAGCGGCGAGGAAGAAACGGAAGGGGCAGGAATATCGAAGGGTTGGGGAAGGGGAGGGTTGGAATAAGGAATGGGAATGGGAAACATGGATATCTAGCGGGGAATGGGAAAAGCCTAAATTGGGTAATCCAAAACCTGAAAATGGAGAAAGGGAATGATTCTTTTTTTAAAACAAACAACAAAGGGAATGTCTAGATATGAAAGGTGTCATCTTGGTGTGCCACAAATGGAATGTTTCCTTTTTTTCTATTTCCAAAGGCCGACATCTAAAAGTCTGCAACAACAAAACAAAACAATAAGTTCAGCACTACGTCCCAAAACAAAACAATAAGTTCAGCACTACATCCAAACCCAATGAAGCATAGAGTACAATGTATAAGAACAGACATCACTCTAAAAAGAAAACCAAAAACACCTGTGAAATGATGTGGGTATTCATTGTTCGGCCTATCAACCTGAGCAACTATGCCATGAATAGAGATTGCAATTGAAGACTAATAAGCTGTAAAATGTCAATACGGAAGTGTTCACACATTCATTTGTTAAGAGCCATTTTAAGCAAAGAAGTCAAATGCTACTCATCCTATTTATACGAAATGAAAACTAAAAACCACTAATCTTAGTAGTATTACAAAGTTATCATCGTAGAGAATCTCAAGAGAAGCCCATGTCAGTGCATCACAAGAATTAAATTATAAATTTATAATTTGGGACCACATCAAAAGGCTGCTGATCCATCATTATGCAGCAAGGAAGAATAAGAAAATTAAAGCAAGTGTGAAGGAACCTTAAATCCATCAGAGGTTTAGGATACATCCAATTATCCCTACTGCTCTTTATTTTTCCCCACATGTATAGCTGGCCTCCCCTACATATAAAAGGACATGTCCAATAAAAATATTAATAATAATATTCATATGAATATGAAAAATGACCACACAACATCGTGTTTTTTAAACGAATGTGTAATGCTTCGTATTGGGGATCCCGAGCATTAGAGAGGCGTGTGTCTATTAGCAAAGGGAAGAATAACAAAGAACATTTGCAGGGGGAGTGACATATATAGACCTAGACATACAGCATACCAGCAGTGCAAGATGAGTTCACAGAATCAGGGGGCAGGACATTTTGTATGCTAAATCCATCAACACGTCGCAGGGCCCACTCATCCTTCTGCTCTCTATGGCCAAGCCTGCCAACTCATCAGTAAATGAGCACTTGAAGTTATTTATACTCCATATTACATTGCTCTCGCTGCTATTATTAAGAAGAATAAAGCAAATGGCATGCTTGTAATTGATATAGTGAGCATACCGACCTTCCCCACCGAAGCCCAAAATTGAAATATTTTATTAGTAAAAAAAAGTTATTTACTATTGTGTGTGGGTGTACAAATCAAATGAGTCATTAGCTACACCAAATATGACATAGGAAAACTTACGTATAAACATGTTCATTAGAATCAACAGCAAGTGATCACCATAACATAAAACGAAAGGGTAAGGGAAATTAGCAACAACTACACAAAGAAGTATATACTTATTTTTGTTGTTAAATGAGTGTATGTATATAAGTGTACGGATACATATAGATTACATTAAGATAAGAACCTGTGTGGTTTGACCCACAAGCCACTTCAGCAATGGCTTCACCAGCAAAGGCAGTTATTGATTTGGGCTTAGGTTGAGCTTCATATACAAGTTTCATAGAACTATCTCTAGTGTTGTGCTGTAAAAAATGACAGCGTCTATTATATTGGGTCTAACTCATTCTGAAAGTATCCTCAATATGTGATATTTATGACCCTTAGCCCTTTCACATAGTTCTCCCTCAGTTCATTATTTTTATCTTTTTTCCTTTTTTTTGTTTGTCCCACTATTTTTGTCTCATATCATATTAGGTCATATATGTGTGGTTCACATTTAGACTTTATCCTACTTCTCAACACTAATATCAACCACACATTTTTATTTTTTTCTAAAATTATGTCCCTTTCATGTCTCAAAAATAGTGGGACTAAGGGAGTAGATTCAAACCACTCAAATGAAGTGCAAAACCAATGTGGAACACTCAACAGTCAACCCACTCCAACCCAAATTTAAATGGACAGTTGGGAAAATGGTGCCAAACTAACCCCCAAAAGAACTACCCCAAACCATCAATTATAAGGCATGGCTCATATGACTAATATTATGCTAAAGGGTATAGCTCATCCCAAAAGGGATCCTCAAGATGGGGGTTGACCTCACACATGTATATTCAAAGTGGTTATAATTTACCCAGTTCAAATAACACTACATATAGAGCATTAAGCAATATGAAGCAATCACTTTAGACGAAAATACATCATATGTTACCTTGTTGTCAGTGCCATGGCCAAGTTGGCCATACTGTGGTAGACCAGCAGTTCTAAAAACAATTAACAACAGTATGAGCGATTAGAAAATGATTTGTTTAGAAGATCCTGTAACAGAGGTCAGCCAAACAGTAAAATCAGCTCCACAAGAGACTGTTTGGATGTTAGATTGCAATTGAAGACTAATAAGCTACAAAATTTCAATACGGAAGTGTTTCCTCATTTGTTTGTTAAGAGCCATTTCAAGCAAAGAAGTCAAATGCTACTCATTCTACTTATACCTAATGGAAACTAAAGACCAAGAATCTAAGTATAAGTATTACAAAATTATCATTGTAGTGAGAATCCCAAGAAAAAGAACTTAATTAGGTATTGAGAACTCTGCCTCTAATGTCCCACAAAGCAGCTATTACAACAAAATTAGCTATTCCATAATGCACGCTGTAAGTTGAGAAAACAAAATTATAAATAAACCACCACATCAACTATGATGTCACCAAGTATAACTAAAAGCCAATTTTCACTAAACCTTTAGATTCATCTAGATTAATAAAAGAATGTATGTTTAAGAGCAAAGGTGAAAATCTAGCAGCTACCAACCACTCAGACAAAGTTCATACTTCTTACATAGTTTAAATCTAGAGACTTTACTATTGGGGCCGGTGATGGGATCAAGATGTATGCATTCTTACCTTGAAAAACAGAGAGGTTATTTTGAGATGTTCCACATGAATGAAACTGGTTGAAGGGAATGCAGAATGTGTAAAAAAGCAAGTATGGCTACAACCAAGACCAAGGTATCTACAGCTTTATCATGACCAAAATAATGGCTATCGACAATAGAAAAACCAGCCAAAAACAAATAAAACAGCTGCATCAACTACTTGATAGGTGCCCGAACTAAGATTTAGGCCAACAACCAAGTGAAATCACATTAAAACACATAAGATAACAAACCAAAATATCATATAATGTCATTAGTTAAAAGAAAAATAATATTTGAATACTTAACATGGCTACCAATCATTAAACAGATAAGAAAGCGGGCCAAAAATAACATTACCTGGCTATCAATCAGAATAACTAGTGACAAGCAGCCTTCGTTTAAAAAATCAGCAGTTCTTCATACATGAATAAGCTTCTTTTGAAAGTGAAAAGGTAACTTGGTAAGCAGAACTCATCATCTAGTTGGAATTGTGACGTCCAACTAACACCAATTCCCACCTGCATATTACCAACCTAAAAAATCTACAAAAGAGAATTGAATAACCAAAACTCATTGTCAGTTGCCACTAACCAAACACAAAGTCCTCATCCAAATAATTACCAAAACTACATTTCAAAATACTTTGCCAATGCAACCCCTTGTTGAATACTAAGAAATCTAGATCTCAAATACATAATATGAAGTAATAGACATCAATCAGGCTTTAAAATGTAGCAAATTAAAAACACAACTACCCAACAGGTAATAAAAAAGAAAAAGAACATAGACTAGGAGGCACACACATTCCATGAAAAAGAACCAACAGAAAACTTGTATATCCACATATATTAAACAATAAGAGAAGATGAGGTGAGAGGTCGGGTTCCCCTAACATGGTTTTTGTTCGAGAGAGGCAAGGCGCATAGGTGCAAGCCGCAAAATATACCAACAAATAAAAATAGGAGTGCTACTTTGAAAACTTTTTATTGAAAATCTCATCTCATCTAATCATGTAAAGCGTAATATATGTCAGCATAGAAAACATTTAAATCTAATATCAAATTCACAAAACCACAAAGAAAAACAGAGAAGAACTAGTGGAAAAAAAGTGACCAAGTAATGCAGATAGAAGATGGATAAGAATAAGAAGTTAAGAACAGAGGCAGGGAGCATCAGGGACAAGAAAAGGGAAAAAAGTAATGCATATAGCTGCTGATTGCTGAGTCTTGGAGCTGGGGAGTGACAACGTGGAGAGAAAAATAGACCGATATGATGTCTCTTACATATTAAGGACAAACTTTCAGTATATGGGCCTTATTACATAAAGTCGCACATACAATAACCTGCCTCACAAAAAGACTTGAGATGCGTCTTCAAAGTGTAAGCCTCTTCAAGTAAAACCTCAATATGTTGTGATCGACCACGTGTTGTGAAAGCTTTACCTCATAGATTAGGGGCTTGCTGAATTTTACCACCTATGAAAGGAATACAATGTTTGTGTGGCTTCAAGGTCACAACACTAAGTCCATTTCAAAGACACAAACAAAGGTAAAAACAGAGTCGGTTTAAGCTATCATGCTAACTCTAGCCATCACTAAAATATGATTGTTGTTTAGGCATTTTTAGGGTCCTGAACTCTTGGTTACCGTACAAAACTATGACCATTCTTTAGATTTTTGGAGCCTTGGCTGCATGTTTGCAGGAATGGTAATATAATTCATCTTCAAGTGCGTGTTTCATTTTGTGTTTCTCTTTCCAAGATAGGTTCTAGAGGAAACTTAAATCCGAATTGAACCAAGGTCGTATAAGAAAAGAAACGAACAACGATAAGGCCGAAAATCACAAAAGTGAAAAATTAATGGGTTAAACTACATAATTTTGAGTAAAATATGGACCGCGATGGGTCTTAGACCAATCGGGCCCCTATGCATCTTGCCGAGAGCTTTCCGAAAAGGTATAAACCACTAAAATCGGATACTCGTACCCAAAGTTATGGCCCAAACAGTACGACGACCCGACCTCAAACACAACCGAGGAGGCTGATGTGATGAACCCACTAACAAGCATGCTAGTTGTGGAAGTATGGCCAATAATGAACTTTTAAACAACCATAAAAGTTGTGGAGGTCATGGAGGAAAAGACTTGACCAAAAGCACTTTGACAACAACCATGGTTAGAGTAAAAAATGTGCAAGGTAAGGTCGTGTATGAGAAACTAGTGATTTTGCCCTCGCTAGAGAAGAAGGCTTTCTGGAAAATACTCTGTAAAAATTCATCGGCGGCAATCCCCAAATTAGTTTGGTGCTGAATTTTTTTACCATAATGAATACTTCATTCATTTTGGAATATATTTTAGTTTGGCGTGATTAGAATTTAAAAGTATATATTAGAAATTTATTGTGAGATTATTAAAGTTCTTTATCTATAGTGAGAGTATTAAATATTAAAACCATAATATTTTGGGCTGCGCCCGTAAAACCATAAACCAATTCTCCATATTTTGGCCAAACCTATGGGCCTAAAATAAATGAGAGTGACCTGGCCTAAAAAACAAAATTTAATCGAGTTTCTTTACACATCCGGAGTATATAGGAATTAGGAGGGGACCCAAAGTGTCTGTACAGTGTACCAAAGCAATGCAAAGGTGAAGCTATGATGCAAAATTGCAAATGTAAAGGGGGAATAATTCCCGTAATGGTAGATTATTTGTATGCCAAAATAAATACACACATAACTTTTCTAGCCGAATAGGTATAAAATATTAAGAAATCACCCTACATAACTTAATATTACACATATACCACTCCTTAATCTTTTATATTCCCTCCGCCCCTAAATAAACTTCCATTTTTGACTTTTTGAGGATTTAAGAGAGAGATATTTTTGTGTTGACTTTCCAAAAATACCCTTGATGTGATGTGTAAAAATAAGATGTGATATGTAGATTATTAGTAAAAAAGGTATGATGTGATAGGCAGGGTATGAAAAAGTAAGAGGTAAAAGGGGTTTTTTAAGGAAAAAGAGAAGTTTATTTGGGGACAAAGAAAAAACGAAAGAGAAAGTTTATTTAGGGACGGAGGAAGTACAAATTTAGTTATTTATAGTGTCAATATCTTCCAAGCATACCCTTTACCTTTTATTATATTCTACTATTTTTAATTACTTTTAATTATTTGATTAAACTTAGATATTCACGTAGCCACTCTTCCTCATACGTGCGGCTTCTCCTCATTCGTGCGTCTCATAAATACGAGAGCATCATCCTACACCGTTTGCTATAGCTCTACGAGATCCTCCTCCACGCAGTTTACCAATGTATAATGCCTAAACAAGTTCGTATTTATTAAAATAAGTTCCATATTTAACGTCCATGTTTGGCCACTGTATTTTGATGTAATAGATTATTCATGAAATCAGTCATACATTTTTGGGCAGTGTGGAATTAAAACATGAAAATAGTCATACATATTTTTGGCAGTGTGAAATTCATACAAGAAGACAGTGTGAAATTCATACATAAAAAGAGCTATATATTTTTTGGGCAGTGTAAAATTCATACATGAAAATAGTTATACCCTTTTTGATAATGTAAAATTTATACATGAAAATACTGCCACATAAATCAATGGATATTATACTCCAACATTAAATTAAGGAACATAATAATACACTTATACACTGCTGTAAGATATAACAACATATATTCATTCTACACTGCCACATTAAATACTTACATATAAAAACTAGACTGCCCACTACACAGTTACAAGTGAACAACCACACTGCCCAAAACAATCATATTTTTTGGCTGTGTGTAATGAATATTTGTTGTTTAATTAAAGAACAAAATCGAAATCACATGTACGAAACATATAACACTGCTATTTAGATTATTTTAAGACTCTAAGAGTGCTATTTTGGTATTTCTCAAAATATTTGTATTTATTTTTAGTGTACAAATGTTGTATAGTTGTTTGAGTAGTCTAATAATTTGGAATATAAAAGACATCCACGTGACCGCAAGAGTACAATAGTAGTGCTCTATTCTTTTGATTCAATTTATGTCTTGTTTTTTTTAAAGCACAATATAGATTGTCCTTGGACTAAAAAATGTTATTCCAAAGCAAGTTAGAGTAAATCCAAAGTAATCCATGATTGGATGGAGGGAGGGAGATTCCTTTTACATAGTGGTCTTAAAATCAATGCAATTTTTTTTTGGATTTCCACAAAAAAATAAAGGAATTACGTATAGATCCTTTTATTGAATGCGATCTGTTTGGAAATAACGTTAGAGATTAGTATTAGTATTTTGAAAATATTTAATAATAAGCACCATTAAAATTTTATACAAAATTTTAACGCTAATCTCTCACTTATTTCTAAAGAGGCCCTAAATACATCTAAACATTTGACTTTATTACAAAAATCTAAATTCACAATAATGAGTAAATTCCATAAAATATTCCCAGTTATAGTTCGTTTTTACATATTTAGTCCGTACATATCAAATATCAATAATTTAGTCCCCAATTATTCTATTGTTTTCCACGAATGATCCTTTGTTAACATTTTCGTTAAAACACATGGATAAAATTTTAAATTCACACTCCTCTCTCTCCCCAATTAAGCTTCCTCCCTCCTCTCGCATTCTTTTTCCAAACTCGTCGCTGAGTTTGAAGTTTTGAATTTAAAACCGATATCATCACTCCTCTCTCAATTGTTCATTTTTCTGTTGGAAACCAAAATCAAAACCAATAACTTTCGTGGAAGTGTTTTATGGGTTAGCCTCAGGAAATTGCAAAGAAAACAAACCTTAAAACTCATCCATGAAGGTTATTGGTTTCGATTTTGGATTCCACCAAGAAGACGAACAATTGAGAGAAGAGTGATGATTTCGGTTTTAGATTCAAAACTTCAAACTCGGCGACGAGTTTGGAAAAAGAGTGCGAGAGGAGGGAGGAAGCTTAATTGAGGAGAGAGAGGAGTGTGAATTTAAAATTTTATCCACGTTTTTAACGGAAATGTTAACAAAAGACTATTCGTGGAAAACAATATAATAATTAGGGACTAAATTATTGATATTTGATATGTAGGGACTAAATATGTAAAACGAACTATAACTGGGGATGTTTTATGGAATTTACTCTCACAATAATATACTACTCATCGGCCCATTTACGAAGTGCTCCATATGTTTTACGAATCTACGGGCAACGTTTCTAACTATTACTCTCTCCGTTTCTGAGTATTTACCCACTTCTATTTTTTTCCTGTCAAAATTTATGACTTTTGATCCCAAATTAAATAAAAGTAATGTTAGATATTGATATAAAAATAATTATATTCGATTCATTTTATAAAATATTTTCATTTTATTTCATTATATGTCAAAGAATTGACTACAAAAATTTAAAATTCGATAAATACTCAATAATGGAAGTAGTATTTTGATAAAGTAATATTTTTAGAACACTAATTTCCAAGATTGTTGCTAAACGGGACCAAGACAAAAAATTAAAATTGGAATGTTTGTCAAAATTACAGCTCAATGAGGAGAGTGTATATGGTACATCCGGATGTACCTAGAAATAGGTACATCCGGGTAGTACTCATTCTGAAGTAAAGTGGTACTCATTCTTGTATCAATATAAGCATTAATTTTAAAAATCATTTACTCATTCTGAAAAGACGTAGTACTCATTTTCACATAGTTCTAGAGTATTCACTTACGAATAATCTAATACACATTCTAAATCCTAGTAGTACTCATACCCACACAACTTAGTACTCATTCTTCGACTACTTATCATAGTTCATGCCCTAACCTCTATTTCCAAGATCTTGAATTCTGCAGAACCTGGAAATCGAACGGAAGAACAAATCTTCACCATCATCATCACCCATCATCCCAAAATCGAACGGAAATAGAACGGAAGAACAAATCTTCAAATCATCATCGATCGTCGTCGTCGTCGATTCGCACAGCATCACAGATCTTCGCGAATTTCCCATTGTCTAGCCTCCTTCATCGCCCTTCATCGCCGATTCCTTCCCGTTCGCCCCTATTAAACGCCGGCTGTACCTATCTCTAGGTACAGCCGGATGTATAATATAATTTGCGCTCAATGAGAGCTCTTTTTTCTCTTCAAACGCCGTATCAACCAATGGCTGCAAATTGCATTTTTTTTTCAACCATGCTGATCGTACAGCAAGAAATGTACCTCAAGTTATACCACAAAGAGAAATATCGACATTTTTATGGTTCACACTGACACAAAATGCTAGTTCAATCCAAAAAATTGTACTGACATTTTGTGGCAGTGTAAACATCACACTAGCATTACACTAGTACAAAATATTGGTACATGTCTTTGGGGTATAAAGTGGGGTATACTTTTTTGGATACAAATATTTTTTTTTCATGTAAAAAAACCTCAACCATGCCAGGGGTACACTAAAAAATGTATCCTAAGTTGTAGCACAAAGAGATCCACCAGTATTTTCACAGTTTACACTGACACAAAATGTTAGTGTAATAAAAAAATTAATTACACCGACATTTTGTACCATTGTAAATAATTGCACCAGCATTACACTAGTACAAAATGCATGCCTTTGGGGTAGAAAGTGAGATACTACCTCCGTCCCTGAGTATTTGTCCAGTTTTGACTTTTTTCAGTCAACTGTTTTCAATCTTTGACCTATAATTAAATAAAATATATATTGTATTTTAATTAAATAAAATAATATTTTGAAAATATTTGATATAATAAATCTAATAAAACTCTTTTTGTATCAATATCTAATATCATTTTTATTTAATTTAAGGTCAAAGTTTACCAATTTTGACTGAAAAAAGCCAAAAATGAACAAATACTCAGGGACGGAAGGAGTATAACTTTTTAGATAGAAACAGCTTTATTCACAAAACAATCCATGATTGGAATCGATGACAAGGTGGAATGACTAGCTATAGTGATTTACTCCCTCCGTTCCCAATTTGATAACAAATTGTGGGTTACGGTGGAAAATTTTCTATTTTTGAAATAATTTTATTTACAAATTGGTATATCAATAAGATATAAAAATTACATATTAAAAAACTACGTCAAAAGTTCTACAAAACAAGAGGTGACAAGGATATTTTATTTTATCAAATAGTTAATGAAATCGTGTAAACAAACAAAAATTATTGAGAGGAGAGAGAAAAAAATTGTAATCTAGAGTCACAAACACATCGATAACAAAATACACAACCTTACCATTTGTGCACCTCACTAAATGAATAAAATGACGTTGAATAATTAAAAAGTAAACATTAAATACACAAATGGTAAGTTTGTGTATTTTGTGACCAAAATTTTTGTAACTCTAGCATTTCTCAATAACTTAGTACTTCGGGTAATATAAGTTATAACTGCCTGTAATGTTGGGAGACGATAGTCTCATATGTAAGCCTATGCAGCATGTTATATAAGCTTTTCACTCACATTTCCGACAAATATTTTTTACCCTCAAGGGTATCCTATCAATCTATCAGGACGGATGCAATGTTATGTGCATGCAACAAGCAGAGCATGTTAGGATATTAATTCAATATTTCCAAAGGTGTGTGAGAGGGAAGATTCTAAAGAATTCTATAAGTTGGTGGAGATGTAGAATTTTCTAGAATGTTGTGGAATTTTCTAGAGAAGTGTAGAAGTCTCTAGAAATGTGTAGAATAGCCTAAACGTTTCTAGAATATTCTAGAGCTTTCTAGAGAAGTGTAGAAGTCTCTAGAAGCGTGTGGAAGAATGTAGTGTTCTCTAGAATATTCAATAACTATGTGGAGTCCTCTAGATTCTTCTAGAACATTATGGAAGCATGTGGAGACTTTCTAGAAGATTCTAGAGATAAATATATGTGTGGAACATTCTAGAGAAGCCTAGCCTTGGTGAGGAGTATAAATAGGGGTGTGGATGCCTCATTTGGCAATGAGTGTGGAGGAAGAAGAGAGTGAAGAACCAATAAGGCTTCTTGAGAGTGCTTGTGAGTGAGGTGTAGAGAGGTGTTCCTAATACAAAGAGTGAAGTGTGCTACCTGTGTAATTGTAATCTCTCTTGTACATTTTCTCTATATAATACAAAGTCTTTTTCTAAAGTCGTGTCTTTGTATTATTTAGTGTGTGTGTGAGTGTACAAGAGTTTGGTTGTGTGAATTGGGGAAAGAGGTCGAGACACACATCAATTCCCCAACAGAGCAAACCATCGCATCTGCTAAATATATTAATTATATTTATTATTCTTGTAATTATTATGTTACCTTACTTGTATAGACTTCCTTATATGACTCTCCTACTCTGATTAGGATTGAAGCCTCTAGTATATATTGATGTAATCTCTACACAATTATTCAATGAAAATACTTCTTCTACATGGTATCATAGCATAAAAACCCTAAACCCTAATCTCACATCTCTCTCTCTCGTTCGGCCCTTCACTTCCAGCGTCGCCTCCTCCTCGGCGCCCTCTCCTCCCTCCCGGCAGTCCTCTCCCCTCTCTCACCATGGCCGAAAATAGTGAGGTTACATCCCAAACTACGTCCTCCAAAACCCCCCATCTTGCTCTCACAACTATCTCCAATGTGAAGTTGCATGTTCCTGTTCAACTCAGTCTTTCACAACCGAACTACAAAAAATGGAGTTGTCTATTTCTTTTCCTTGTTCGGCGCTTTAATCTTCAAGGATACCTCGATGGATCCGTCGTCCCCCTCTCCGACGACGATGACGAATGGTGACGAATCGCCTCAGCTCTCTGGAAGGTCATCCACGACCTATTTCACGACAACAAACATGCCCGGGCCATGCAGTTGGAGCATGAATTCCGCACCACCGTCAAGGGCTCCAACTCCATGGCGACCTATTGCCAACAACTCCAAAATCTTGTCGACTGGTTAGACGATGTCGATGCACCGGTCTCTCAACATCAACTTGTTCTTCAGATGCTCCGAGGGCTTCCCGCAGATCTTCAAGCCCAGACCTCGTTCATGCAGTTTCAGGATCCCATGCCGAATTTTTTTCAAGTTCGATCGGCTCTCATGCTTTTGGATCACCAACGGTCAAATCTGGTTGACCCCGGCAGCACGGCCCTGCTCACCAACCGAGCCGGCGGTCAACTCCATGTCGGGATGTACGGCGGCAGCGGCTATGGTGGACAGCACGGCGGTAGCAGCTACGGTGATGGCAACCCAGGACAGCGTGGAGGCTTTGGACGGGGGCAAGGACGTGGCGGCGAAAATCGGGGTCATGAACGTCAAAACAGCTCTCGGCAACGACAAACCCATGTCAGCAATACCACCTGGAACTCACCCCACCCAAAACCCACCCCTGGCCTCTTAGGCCCACGGCCTACACCCCCACCCTTACCCCCCCCCCAAGCCTATTACACCACTACCACCCACCANGCCTACCCAATCCCCCCCACCCCCTGCCGTAGGGTAGTACCCCCCCTCCCCATCCCACCCACAAGCCCAAACCCTCACCCCCACTGCCCTCACCCATCATTTTGACACCCTATCCCTCTGTGAGCCCGCTTGTTACTTGGACACCGGTGCCTCATATCACATCGCCTCCGACCCAGGTACTCTTTCTCATGTCTCTTCTCAAACTTTATATTCACCATTATATATCACTGTTGGTAATGGATCTAAAGTCAGCACTACGGCTGTTGGTCACCACACTATTCCCACTACCCTACCCTATCCCTTAAAAACATCCTCGTTTCCCCCCACATCACCCACAACCTTATCTCTGTTCGTCAACTTACCCGTGATAATAACTGTACTATTGGATTTGATGCTCATGGTTTTTCTGTGAAGGATCGTCGGACGGGAACCGTGATGCATCGATCCAATGATATGGGACCCCTCTACCCCCTTGGCCGAACCGCTCCTGCCCAAGCCCATGTCGCCGCTGTCGATCTCGAGACTTGGCATCGGCGTCTAGGCCACCCCAGCCAGGCCATTCTCAGTGGCGTCTCTTCTCTTCCCTTTTTTAAAAGTTATCAACATTCTTTATGTCATGCATGTCAATTGGGAAAGCATGTGCGCCTCCCCATTTTGTTCTTCTAGTCGTAATTTAATGTTTCCGTTTCAACTTTTACATACAGATTTATGGCAATCTCCTATTCCAAGTGTTACTGGTTTTAAATTTTACATGTTACTGTTGGATGATTTTTCCCATTATTTATGGGTTTTCCCTTTAAAACACAAAAGTCATGCATTTAATCATTTAACTTCATTTGTTGCATATGTAAAAAATCACTTCAACACAACAATAAAAACTGTACAATGTGACAATGGAACAGAATATCGAAATTCCCCTTTGAAAAATATTTTTGACTCCTTAGGCATCCTCTTCCGTTTCTCTTGCCCTCACACGAGCCAAGAAAATGGACGGGCTGAGCGAACCATACGAACCATAAACAACACCGTCCGTTCCCTTCTATTTCAAGCCCAACTACCGCCCACTTTCTGGGTCGAGGCCCTTCACATGACGGCTCACCTTTTCAACATTCTCCCCACCACCACATTGAACAATCGCACTCCCCACGCCGCTCTCTATAACTCACCCCCCTATTAAACTCACTTACGTGTTTTCGGTTGCTTGTGCTACCCCAACATCTCCGCCACTGCCCCACACAAACTTGCCCCACGCTCGGCCCGTTGTATTTTCCTAGGCTATCCCTCCAACCAACGCGGTTTTCGTTGCCTTGACCTCAACACCCACAAGCTAATCATCTCCCGTCATGTCGTCTTTGATGAGTCGTGTTTTTCGTATGGTCACCCCACCTCCC